AAGAGAAGAGGAATTCGAGAATAAAATCTTATTTTTGGACATCTTAGTCAAGCGAACAACCACAGGGGAATTAGAAACCGAAGTCTATAAAAAATCAGCTTACACAGACCAAATCTTGAATTACAACAGCAACAATCAAATAGCACTCAAAAGAAATTGCATACAAATACTATTCATGAGAGCAAGGACTCACTGCAGCACTCCCACCTTAAGGAAAATTGAAGAAAAGTATCTCATGGACGTCTTCCAAAAGAATGGATATCCACGGAATTTCATCAAGAGATATATATCCCCAAGCCAACCTACCAAAGCAAAGGCAACCAAGGAAAGCACAAAGAAAATCGCCCTACCATATATAAAGGACATCTCAGAAATGACTGCCAGACTCTTGAAACCTTTAAGAGTTGATGTCTCACACAAACCAATAAAATCACTTCACTCAGATGGCTCTGTGTCAATCAAAAGACTAAACAGCCAAAGAAACTAAAACCAACATCATCTGCAAAATAGTTGCAAAGATTGAAAAAAAAGAGTACATTGGTTAAATCACGAAAAATACACATTTATTCATAAGTAAAAACACAGTTTCTTGTTCAGGGAAGAAATTTCTTTTCAATGACTTCATTTTCAAGCTGTACAGTCGTATTTATATTACAGAAAAAGGTTATTAAGTGGCACTAAATAATTGCTCAGTCAATGTACGTATATATGTGATAAAAGTTATAAGGGGTAGAGTTGAAGTGGATAAATTACAAACATATGAAAGATTATTCTATAACAAAAATGTCAAGTGTTGTCTAAAAATTTTGAAAATTAGGAGTACGATTACGATAAGAATGAAGATGTGAAGTGAAGTGGAATGAATTCAAGTGGTAAAATAAAATAAAAACTAGAAAGAACATTACTATGACCAAGGTGAAGAAAGGGGTTTGACAAAACGTTTTTGAACACATAATTTAGGTTTCTGTTCACGTATAGCTAAAGCTTCGGCTATGCATAAGTGAAGAAAACGTAAACTTTTTGATCGATTCGATTTTGCCATGAAGATAACTTTGAAAGATGAATCACGTGGGGCTAAATAACCAGACTCTAACAGGTGATCACAAATAGACGACTTCGCAGTTCTACTTTCGCCTTTCATGAACCAAACCAGATAGTGTTCAGCTGCCTGTTTTCGGAGATTACGCTTACAACGTCCAATGTATTTTAGTTTTTTTTTAAAGTTTTGATTACAGCTTGATTCCACACCGTATTTTTGGGACAAGTGTGGATATCGGTAGCCCGAAATTCGCAGGCCGACCATAGATATCAGGTGTGCGTTGGCGTTGGCTCGAACCCCGGACCATGTGCATGGTCGGCGAGAGTCCTAACCACTGTGCCACCGACGCACAGTTTAAATATAAACAGCTCCACAAGAGCAGGTAAAAGAGTAAATGCACATAGATGTGGACAAAGGCGGTAATCTATCCTTGACGCATTGTCTAATCATATTTCGGCTAATAAAAATTAGTTGCAAGTCAGCTGCAGGAAAAGTGCGTTTAACACATTAAGATAGATGATATTTAATCAATTCCAAAATGGTGTCACCTTTGAATGCCAGACTCATAAACAGTTTTTTCTTTGGAACTGTGATTTGTTTAGGGGTGGATTCTTTCTTGATGTTACGTTCAATGAACCTTGTAGAATAACCATTGTTAAGGAGATTTGATCTAAGGTTATCTAGTTCCCTATCGATTGTCTCTGCAGAGCAGATTTTACGAATTCTGGAGCATAAGGAATAAATAAGATTTCTCTTTCTCGATTCCATCTTTGTCTTCGCATGTATGTACATAAGCTAGGTGTCAGGATGATATCCACTCCATCATATCACTGCATGCAGACAACCATGGATATCAATCTGACTGGGACAACATTCAAATATTAAGCAAAGGAAACACCAAGCACACCATGGAATTTTTCGAAGCCTGGTATCCCATTGAATCGGCAATCAACAAGCACATTGACATAGATAAAATTTACCATCTCATAAACGGAAAATCTAATACACAAAACTTGAAACTTTAAATCAAGGAAACGACCAATGCTAATACACGTAGACTAGAGGGTGTAAAACAGAGATAAACAACTAATCTGTTAGAGGTTACCAGGAGGGGTGACTAATGGACTCGTGGAGAAATTTAAAGGTGCACTCCAACAAACTGAAGTATGTAAGTGAATTTTAGATTTTCCCATCGATTGATTGGACCAAAGTGCTCGGTCTCAGGTTGACATGTCTTTCGGCTTCTTGTGCAGATGCTTCGAAGTTATCTGGGCATGTAATTAGAATTTAACTGGTAGATGGTCACTAGAAGCAGAATCCAGGACGCGCATTTCGTCCTTTTTGGGACTCGCGTCAGTTGAATATACCTGAATTTCCCAGTGAGTCAGTGATGATGTTCCCACCAAGACTTCAACCCAGTGGCCATAGTTTCAAAGGTCGAAGCTTTATCCACTAGACAATTTCGCCCACGAGAGCTGACCGCCTCTTGTGCAACCGGTCATATTAATTATTTCATTCAATTTCAAATTTTCCCGGACCAAAGTGCTCAGGTTGACATATCTGTCAGCTTTTTGTGCAGATGCTTCGACGATGTCTGGTCACATACAAGCACATCCAGCTGACGAGTCCCAAATAGGACGAAATGCGCATCCTGGATTCCACTGCTAGTCATCACTCACCAATTAAACTGAAGTATGCACTGAAGATGTAGCCTAGTAGTAGGGCAATGAATGTTTCACAAGTAAATCATCCAGCTCAAAGAACACAACTACATCAAAATCATCCAACTTAGCTACAAACCTACAGCTACATCTAAGAACCCTGAACAATGAAAAAATTAAAGAATCTTATTCATTGGAAGATGAATGACATCTAATCAGCGTCACCAGACAATCTAGTAAAATGGATAAAGTTAACATACACACTAGAATTTTGATAAATACGAAGAGTACTTTCACTTCAAGAGAATTCTTTAGGTAATGCTTTATCCTCTCAGTTACCTGGTTGAATTATAAAACTGTCGTGGTCATCCTGAACGGCATACACAGCATAGTATTTGCAGACACGCCTTACCGATGAGTGTTGACCAACACAGGGCCAAGTTAAACTTTAAGCACCAATAACCACTAATCAGCAAATGACCTCGAATGGTCCAATGAAGTTCATGTACATGAATGATTCGTTTCAAATGCGTGCTCTAACGAACTTACGCTTGCAGCTCGAGGAGGATAAGCTTTTGCAGTATTGCCTGGATTTGGGGTTGCTTAGGAATGACAGGATGTGTTCATATGTTGGTGTCACAAGTCTAAAAATCTTTAGCAGGTCGATTGATGGATATATTCATAGTTGTGTAAATTGTCTGAGAAAAGTGAGTATCAGGGGAAGTAAGCTGATAACTTTAATATTTCTTAGGGACATTTTTTGCTAGGTCGCATCTCTCCTTAAACCGGATTTTGTATATTTGTAACTACCGGGTTTTAAAACAGTCTGTGAGAGGCGCAGTTTCTAGAAACCGAAGATAGCCTCGTACCAACAGTTCAATGGTACCAGCACTGCAGAGACATCCCTCCATGGAAAATGGAGGTAATTACTTCGTTGTTAGGCGAAAAAGGTGTCGTCTCACACGTGGACGAAACGGCCTTATTGAAGAAAAAATATAACCGTGGTCGTGAGCGAGCCAATAATGTTTAGGTGATCGTTTTATATGACACCTCCCTGCGGAAAAGATTCGTGGAGAGAATAGAAGATAGAAAGTCTACTCGACTGGTGAAATCGGGAGCTATAGTGCATACTGATGAATGAAAAGGTTATAACTCGCTATCATCTCTTGAATATATTCACCACAGAGTGAACCATTCCAGTAATTTTGTGGATCCAATTACAAGGACACACATAAATTCTATAGAAGGATTTTAGGGAAGACTGTAAGATAGGATTAAGGCTATAAATGGATCTCAAATGGATCGCATTTGTAGCCATTTGGATGAATATATGTACAGAATATGGTGCAGCATTTCTGTTGACACTCCTATGCTAAACTGGGAAAAGTTTCTGTGATATTTCATTATGGGTAAATTTTGTTTTGATAAAGTCTCACAGCGTTATACAGTAATGTTTACTGTATAACGCTGTGAGACTTTATCAAAACAAAATTTACCCATAATGGAATTACACTATACCACAGTGCACAAGTTTCTGTGATATGTTAGAGAAAAATACCCTATGTAACAGTTTTATGTAGTTTTTACACTTTTTTCCCCCATAAATATACGTTTTCGTTAATCGAAAATTTCTCTTTCATGTCATTGGTCGGCTGAAGGTCGTAAACTGATTGGTAGTTAGTGGTGCTCAGAGTTTAACTTTGCCCAATACAGCAACCTAGATGCAAGCCTACCTGCCAAAAGCTTTAAACTATTTAATATCAACGCTTAAAAAAAATACGTTATTCAATGGTGTAATTAATGAAGACGTACAACTTGTTTTTGTCTTAAATGGAGTGTTTGCATATATATATATATATATATATATATATATATATATAATAAAAGTGCTCATTGGGTATAATAGTTTTTGTCAGTTTGCACTCTTAGAAGAATATTTGAAGAATGATGAATTTATGACTATATATATATACATATGGTTGTACTTTCAAGGTAATTACTCTGAAATGATAAATGATTATAGCCTCATTCGATTGGTTAAAAATTCCACTTCACTGAGATAATATTTTCAATGAAATGATACTCATAACAGATGAGTTATTAATCTTTTAGTGATTTTTGTCTTATAAAAAATAATAATAACAACAAGATAGAAGGAAAAGAACATTTTAAAGATAAAAATCGAGAGATGCTTTGTTCTACTACCTGGAATGCATGAATGCACCACGAATGAATGCATGAATGAACGATCACTTTAGAATTAATTGAAGTTTTTGTTTTTCTAAAATTTGAAACCAGTTATGAATACAGAGGATGGTTTACAAGCGACGCCAAGACACCGAAAGCGGCATAAAGGGAGAAAAGAGAAAAAGAAATCGAAAGACAACACTGAGAATATTCCTACAACCAGTGAATTGTATGAATTTAATCTGATTTGCTTGGAAGAGAATAATCGGTAAGTGGTTGCGTTGTTTTATTTTTATTTATTTGAATGTGTATTGTATTATCAGTATGCGTAGATGGTTTCACGGTAGAAGGTCCGCCGACAACGCCTCATGTGGTCTGGGGTTTGATTCCCCACCCCCACCCGCACCACCCAGCCGATGCATTTGCACACATCGCTAAACCGGTAGTAAGGTCGGTGAAGAGGGAAGGTTGGGAGTGAGACTAGCAACTCTGTCCAGTAAAATACTTTTTAAAAACCCACTGCTACCAAAACTTCAGAGCCACTAAGCTTCAAGCTCCCTATATTCCACTCGGAACCAAAAGAATAAAGTAAAAATATTTAAATAAAACTATTATCAATATTACTAATAGAAACTTCAAAACTTTCATATTACTTTAAAACCTTGGCATTGTGGTAGAGTGTAACTCCATTATGGATAAAATTTTATTTTGATAGAATCACACAGTGTTGTACAGTAAGTTATAATTACTGATGACCAGGTTACAAGCACAGTTTGTTACTGCTCATAATCATCATATCAAGTAACTCACATAATTTTCTTCCTTCATTTATATACATGAGTAAAAATTGAGGATTAGACATTTGAATAAAATCAATGTAAGATGAAGTACATTCGGTGGCACATCGGTTAGGATTCTCGCCGAGCATGCAAATGGTCCGGGGTCCGATTCCCTGCGAACGCGCAACTAATATTACTGGTCGACCTGCAAAATTTAGGCTACCGATATCACATGCTGAAAATTTCATACTTGTACAAAAAAAATACTGCATGAAATCAAGCTATAACCAAAATTTTAAAAAAATAAATAGTATAAGTGTTACCAATAAAATATAATAAAATGGGAAATAAGATGTTTTTATTGTACAAATTAGTAAATAATGTGAATTGAATACATACCTCTGAACATTATTTATATTATCCTCCTCTGATTTGACTGGTGGCAATAATATCTTCCATATCTCTCTGCTATTTGCACTGAGTCACTTCTATTGTGCGTGTTGAATGTAGACTCGTCGAACCAGGCAGGATTCAGTAATCAACCTCTCACTCCACCTAGCTAACTCTGTCCCTCCCATCCTATTGTGTCATTGTCTGTTAATGCATGCAGTGGTACAGCTGAATTCTTTTCTAAATTACTTATCCTCGCCGGTGGGATCAATCATTCTAGATTTAGTTGATTTCTTATATTCTGATAAACACCCTCCTCCTGTTGGATCTACTAGTTTCATCCACGTAGTTGACAATAACTTACAGTCATTGCAGGGCATTTTGTAAATTATATTATTTTGTTTAATTGGGTCAACCTACAGAGCTTGTCTTACCTGAGTGAGTTTGTAGGTTTGTTATGTACTAGTTTCCCCGTCGCCAAATTGTTATGTACTCGTCGCTAAATTATTGTTATGGACTGGTCGAGAAACTAATAGTCCTGACGCGAGAAGGCGGAAATCAGAAGACCACTAGGTTGCAATGATACTTCTATTGTCCAAACACAAGGAGACGAAATAAATGGTCTCACACCAAAGTAAGTAAGTAAGTCACAAGATTGTGAATGCGAAATATATATGAATGTTCCAGACAAGCGTGGGAACAAATCATTAGGCAGTCTTAACATGAATGGCTAATTATAGTGGAGTGTCGATCCAAATATACATAGCGAATATAGCAGACATGTCAACAACCCCACATATAATATGGATATATGTCACCAAGCTACGGACTGTCAACAAACACTCATATTATATATAATATAATATAAGGAGAATACACATTATTAAAGGAGACAAGTTCACACAAGTGAAATGGTCACAGACTAAGAGAGCAAACAGAAAGAGAGACCAACATACACACACACATAAATATATATATGTGGATACATATGAAGGTTTCAATGCCACCCTGATTCCCACTTTATTAAAAATCCTATGTAGGGCCTCAGATGCCTCCTTCCTATATGGTATAACAGTGAATGACTTATATTCTCTCTTATTTATGTTATCATTATTACTTTCACCATTATTTTTATTTTACTTTTCAACTTGTCTGATAATAAATAATAATAATTTTTCCTTCACGTTCCCAGTGGAACATAGGGCTCCAAGCTAGTGGCTTGAAGTTTCTGTAGCAGTGTTTAATTTTTACAGGATGGGGTTGCCAGCCTCATGCCCAACCTTTCCTCTTTACCAGCATTATTTCTGGCTCAGTGAGGTAAAGGATAGATAATTATTTGACACCAACGCTTCCTTTTCTTCTCTCCGTTTCATTTCATCGTTTAGGTTTTCTGATGTACTGCATAGTGTTATTGCTCGGTTTATTAGACACTTAACTAGGCCTGCCTTCACAGTTAACGAATGATATGAATTAACGAAGTCTGCAGAATCTGTTGGCTTTTTATAAACGCTAGTGTTTAAGTTTACCTTCTTCTATTCGTTTTATTTTACAATCCAACATCATGGCAAATTCTCCTTGTTCATTTACTGATTCAAATATGAATTTTATTCCTTCTACTAGTGAGTTTATATGCATCAAGAAGCTAGAGAGGGAGAGAGAGATGTTCTCTTTTTAACACTGTGAAAGTGTCATCCACATATCTACACCATATTATCTTTGGAGTAGGATTAAATGTATTTAGAGCAGTATTTTTCCAGTTGTCCATGAGGATACCTGCTACGATATGGGATATTGGTGATCCATTCCACTGCTACACCATCTGTCTATTTCATGCATAAAATATTTTCTTGAATATGTGTTAACAAAAAGTAAAAAATATTTCAAACGTGTTATAATAGATAAGTTGTAAATGTTTGAAATGAGTACAGTTATATCACTTTTAGCGTCCCTGTATTGTCAAGGGAACTTTTGGAAAGCAAAGTAGGATAGATAGCTATACGACCTGTATCTCAAGGCATCTATGCTGTATGATTTTGACAATGAAATTATTATCGTCAATAAAACGGGTAATTATAACTTGTCATTTCCACTTTATTTGTCGTGTTGGAATACGAGTATGTTAGCAGATTTCACTTTTACGCAACCACATAAGTGACTGCTACTATTGGTATCCAGAAAACAATATTTTGAAGTATTGATGTATCTGAACTCCGCTAAATGATGCTGTTCAGTTAAAAATAACTGTCATGAACTCCACCGTTAGCAGTCATCTAGGAATTATTAACAGCTAGCGCAAAGATTTAATCACATTTTCACCAATTTCTGTTGATTGATACTGATTGTTGTTATTATTATTGTTCTCTTGGGTTCCTAGTGGAATATAGGGCTTCAGCTGCACGTCCCCACTTGCTTCTGTTTTCTGCTGTACTTTTCACCTGCATCCATGTTAGTTCATACTGTTTCAACTCCTCTTCACACGATCTCCTCCATGTCACCCTCCCACTGACGACCCACTCACCGCTTCCCTTTCGGCCTGGTTCCACTCGAGCAATGGCCTGACGCGCACGCGATGTCACCCAGCGGCCCGGCCTCCTCAGTGAGTGTCCAATTCATCTCCACTTTCTCGTGCATATTTGTTGGTTGGTGAGTGCTTCTTGTTTTGTTTGTTCGCATAGTTTCTTGTTGGTGATTCTTTCCGGCCCGGCCATCTGATCTTCAGCACGGAGCGAAGACAGTTAGTTGTTGATGAAGGTCTGCAATAGCCTGTTGAAAATATTCTATGTGACCCACTCCCCAAGTTTCTGATCCGTATAGAAGAAGTGACTGACTTGACGTTGTTTGTATTGAAAATCCGACCGAATTTTGTTGTCGATGAGTGACGAAGATTTCCAGATTGGTTTCAGATTGATGAATGTGTTTCTCGCCTTCCCGATTCGGTTCTCAATTTGACGTCCCCGTCCGTTCCTCCTCATGTAATTGGGACAATGCTCCCTAGATAAGTGAATGAATGAAGTAACCTCCTTGAAATCCCCCCGTTGATGGTGATTGCCGCTGGATGTTGCTGTTGTTGTTGGCTGGTTGGTTGTTTTCATAACCTCCATCTTGTCTATGTTCACCTGGAGTCCTGTCTTCGCCATCTGCTTCTTCGACCAGTTTGTCGCTTTTCACTTGTAAGTCTTCGATTTTGTGTGACATCAAACATAAATCATCCACTCGCGAAATCCAGATCTTTTAGGTTCTTCACGTCGGTCCAGGATATCAATCACTGTCTTCTCGTTTCCCACTCACTGTCTGATGCGTAATCCAGTCAGTCCACGACAATTAGGAATACCATTGGTGATAATAAGCACCCTTGTCTGACTCCTGTGTTTACTCCAAACGGCTCACTGAGTTTTCCGTTGTGCATCACTTGACATGTGCCGTTGTCGTACAGCTGTTGGATAAGGTTGATGAATATTTGTGGTACGCCGTAGTACTCGAGTAGTTTTCAAACTACTTCGCGGTCAACGCTGTCGAAGGCCTTCTCGAAGTCTATAAAGTTGAAGTAGAGGTTTGATTGCCATTCCATGCTTTGTTCGATGATTATGCGTAGAGTTGCAATACTGATACTGATTCGTTTTTTACTATCATGTGTCTAGTCCTTTGTTTTGATGAAGACTGAATTCTGCCAGTCGTGTTTCACAATGTTGCGCCCATTCTAGGTGGCTATCCATTACAGTGCACTGTGAATTGTTGATATTAGACGTCTGAAGGCCATCAGCCAAAGGAAGACCTCGACCTAGGCTTCGTGCTTCTTCGCATTCATCAGTGAGTCAGCATTACAGATATGTAGTCACCTTGAAGGAACTTATATACATTCCCGCGTCGCCATCCACTGATGCAGTCAGAGATATTATGACTAAGCTATCTGGCCTTGTGATTGACTTTCTGTAGGACTGAGCGTATTCGACACTTCGATTGGACACTGTTTAGTAACTAGTATCGTGTATCCAGTCCTTTTTTAGTGCATTCTGAATTCTGTCAGTAAAATTGGTATATTGCATGTTGAATAAATGAAGGCAAGTGAGAAAGACATTAGACTTTTTCTGTTTTCTCCCGG